CTTCCCCGCCCAATTGTGCCCTAAATATGCTACCTACGATTTTTTTTTTCCCATGATCAGGGAACACGAATGAACACTTTTATAAGACGAAAGAATTTTTTGGATTTTTTTTTTTTGTTGCACCTGTGGGTGTTGAGGGCAAAATGGGCCTTAGTGGCCCAAGGGTTAATTAACTCTACGGAGGTTTGATGGAGACGCAATTAGTGTCCAAAATTACAATACAGTGGAACCTCGGGTTATGAGCGTCCCTGTTTACCAGTTTTTCGGGTAATGAGCCCGATTTGTTCGGAAAATTTGCATCAGGATACGAGCATTGCATCGAATTACGAGTTAGTTAATATGCGTACAGGCCGATCTAGCTCGTGGTGGCATGGTGATCGCGCCTCAGTTTACCAGTGCCTCGCGCCAGGTAGCTCAACAGTACTACTCCTATATAGTACACAAGACACACACACTCTCTCGCTCCGCTCGGTTTTGCGTTTTAATCCTGCTTTGCAAGTTAAATCTCACTATTTTTTGTTGGATTTTTGGCCATTTGAGCATAAATGTTGTTATTATATATCTTGCCATGGATCCCAAGAAAGCCAGTGGTAGGGTTCAACCTAAGAAAATAGTTGTGAGTAGATGCAGTAGAGGATGTCCCTTCCTCATTAAGAAAATGTGTTAAGCACGGGAAGAACTGCAAAGTTTTGTTGAAAAAACTCACCCAGATAAAGCTGTAGCAGGCCGTTGCATTGACCTTTTAAATGACAATGTGATGTCTTACTACAGATAAGTGTTAAAACGTAGGGAAAAACAAGTGTCATTAGACAGATTCTTAGTAAGACAAGCAAGCAGTGAGCCACAAGCAGGTCCTAGTGGTATGCAGGCAAAACATGCCAGAGAGTGCTATCCAGAAAAATCTTCACTGCCTGATGTTATCATGGAAGGGAACTCCCCTTCCAAACAGTAACACTTCTCCTCCTCCCCCCTCCTCACCATTTTCTATATGCCGACAGGAGTCATCAGCCAAGGTAAGTAATAAGTTGAACATACTTTTAAAGTTAACCCTCAAGCTGCTAAGGGATCGTTGAGGAGATTTACACCCCTGTGCACAAGAAAAAAAAATTCTAAAAAATTATTTCGTCTTCTAAAAATGTTAATTTGTGTTCCCTGAGCACAGGAAAAAAAAAACGAAGGTGACATATTTCGGGTGCAATAGGCTGAGGAAGTCTGGCAAAATGTGGGCGTTGACAGAGTGGTCGTCAGAGGCGGTCAGCGTCAGCCGAGCTGACAGGTGGGAGTTGCCACAAAGATATTATTACCTAATTATTTCAATGTCTCTGATAGATTTTTTCTTAGTTTTTTGCAGTAATATTATTCAATAGTGTGTATTGTGATATATTTATATAATAAAAATTGGTGAATTATCGCTATACTCAAAAGTATGGTGTGCATATTAGTGATTCAATTATTATGTTCAAAAAACAATAAACAAATAGTTTTGCTGTTATTACACTCTATACACAGGTTATATATAAAGATCTGCATGTTTTGTTCACCATAATGAACCACTAAGTTGGTATTGCGAGTTGAAAAGCAATGAGGAGTGACAGCCACACACCAGCTAGCCACTCGTTGCCACTCCTTCAACAACGCCTCACTCGCCCACTTTCTCCTCCCACCATCCTGTTTTATATTTTATTCACTATATACAGACGTTATATATAAGTATCTACATGTTTTGTTCAACACAACTGTACAACTAAGCTGATATAGTTAGTTTAGGCACTAAGAGTTGTCACTACACACAGCTGGCGGCTCCCTCACTCATTCAAGGTCACACGCACTAAATTTCTCCCCCAACAATACCGTTTGTGGTGTTATTACACTATATACAGACGTTATATATAAGTATCTATATGTTTTGTTCACCACAACTGTACAAGCTGATATAGTTAGTTCAGGCACTAAGAGTTGTCGCTACACACAGTCAGCTGGCGGCTCCCTCACTCATTCAAGGTCACACGTACTAAATTTCTCCCAACAATACTGTTTGCAGTGTTATTACACTATATACACACACTCATTATATATGAGTACCTACATGTTGTATGCACCGTAACTGTACACCTAAGCTTGTAGGGTGCCCAAAGAGCATAGCGGCCACCCTCTACACAGCCAGACAAGTCATGCAGACGACGCTACCTCTGTCACCCAAATGGCTCCTCCCAACATAATTCTTTTGCTGTTATTACACTAATACACACATTTTATGTAAGTATCTACATTTGTGTTCACCATAGAGAACCACTGAGCTGGTATGGTGAATGCAAACAATAACAAGTGGCCAGTACACAGTAAACAATGCTATCTCCCTCCGTCACTCAGCATTACTCCTCCCACAGCGCTAATTATCACAACAATCCTGACAATCCTGGACATTTTCATCACAGTCATGGGTCATCTGTAATACTGTCATTGCTAAATAATAGCAGTTATATATTTATTTTGACATTTTTCGGCGATGCTGTGGTCACTAGTTGAACAGTGTTACGGTGCCCTCTCCTATTTCTTTCGTTTGCCGGCTTAAAGAGTCATATCAGCTCTCCCTACTGATTCTCTGAGGTTCAGGGAGTCTAATGATATACGTGGCGACCAGCCTGGCTGCCATTTAATGGAAGGAGGTTATATTATAAGTTGTAAATAAAGGAAAGTTGGCGCCCTGATATAAAATGAAACAGTATCCCCTACGGCAGATATGACCTTGTGGAAGGGACACTATGCCAATCGCGGATTGGCCGACGTAGGTCGCGGGCGACAAATCAGGGCCCGCCATGACGTCACCGAGTGCCCCGGGCGGCGCCAACGTCAGAGTTGTACTGACCGTGGAAGCGACAGGACGCACCTCGGTCTGCTCTCAAGAATTGGAGGCTCTGCAAGCCTTGTCCAGTGGATTGAGCTGACCATCGCCGCCAACATAGTTATTGGAGACCCTGCGCTTCTGGGAAGCCAAAGAGGAACCAAGTTCAGTGAGCAGAGAAGTGCCCAAACTTGGAAAATAGTCGGCGACGACGCTGGGCGGCGCCGCTGGCTGGACGTTGAGGTCTGGAAGGTGGGCGAGCAAGCTAGCTGTGACTGGGGTCACATCCACTGAGAATCTTGGAAGGACGACACAGTGCCTAGGACAAGGAGCGACGCCCTGTGGGAGAGGCGAGTGTGGGGAAAGATAGTGATTAGCTCAGCGCCCATCGATGAACCAGGATTGGGGCAGCTGAATCTCAGGGATTGGAACGGCGACGACGCGAAGGCTTCACGACACCTGAGGACCTGTGGAACGCCCTGGATCGTCGAGGATCGACCCAAGGAAGCGTGGGAACCTCACACCATCGAGGGACAGGCGTCGTGAGCCAGGAGTGTAAGGTAGATCATTTTTCCCTCCCATTACCCCTTGTATGAGTAGGCTAGTTAGGCCACAATATTTACTTGTGTATGTGGCAGCAAGACTTTATTACTTTAATAGTAGAATAGGCTGCAAGGCAGCTTGTGTCCAGGACTGTCAGAGAGGACAGTGTGTATGGATGGCAGGACAGTGAAGAAGAGGTGCCGACGTGGTGAAGAGGCCCTCCTGTGAGAGTGTGAGACTCCTGTCTTCCTGCCCAGTTGAAGGAGAGTTGGAGGTCGTGGAAGAAGAGGCTGACGATCTCCAGACTCATCATCCATATTCCATATCCATGTATTACTTGTGAGTGTGTGTGTGTGTTCATGTAATTTGCGTCAGTAAATCCACACATTTTATTACTGTGTTTGAGTGTGCCTCCATTTGTGATATTTCTCTATGAGCATACATTTCTGGCTACAAACGATATATGATACACCCACTGAACTGCATTGCTGGGGTGCAGATATAATAACCCAGCTGGCGACCTTGCTAAGAGGAAGATAGAGAAGACAGGCGGGAAAGGAGTTCCTGCAACCTTTTTTTTGTCTGGCGGGCAAGACTCAGGGAGGTTATGGTTATAGGTAAGCCTGAGTCTTCCTTCACTCCCCCACGGGTCTAGGCCGGAACTGTTAACAGCAGTTTCCCCGTGGTTGACTGAAGGGCTTCCAGGGTGAATCAGTGGCACCCCTTTGTGGTGGAAGCAAAGACCTGCGGAGGTGGGCATTGTTGGTCCTATCTTGTGTGACCAAGGAGACTCCGGTGAATCCAGGGAGTCGGAGGGGCTGAGTATTTGGGCCTTTTGAGCCCCTAGCAGCCGAGTGTTAGCAGAGCCCCGGACCGCCCACCCCCACGTGACAACAGCAATGCTGTTCACTCATGCTTCGTGCACCAGCCTTGGTTGCTCCAACAGTACTGTGGCTTTCACACTGGAGAATATTGCCCACGATTATTTTTAAACATGGCGTCTGTTTACAAGAGTCCTGAGGAAGCTAATGTGAATCCCGTGTAGCCGCGGGCCATTTGAATCGTGCCTAGCACCCTGTGGCGTATATATACACCATGCGCACCGTGGGACATATTACTCATGGCATATATATATGCCATGCGCAGTTTAAGGGTTAAGATATGGGTGAATTAAGTATAAAATTTTGTTTGAAGTGAAGTTTTTTGGGAGTCAGGAACATTAATTAATTTCCCATTATTTCTCATGGGGGAAATTAGCTTCGGTTTATGAATTTTCGGGTTATGAGCTGTCTCAAGGAATGGATTAAATTCTTAAACCGAGGTACCCCTGTACTGTATTTTTTAAAATTCCATTTATTGTTCGATTATGATGGGACTAAGTTTTAAAATGCGCACCATTACTATTAGATTGCGAACAATTTGATACCAAAATGAACGATGTAGTACCCAAATAGATGACAGAACACTGGAAAGAATATACACGTTTTAGTGTGGGTGCACACTCCCAGGAAACGCCAGGCCCACCTTGGCATTGGCTGGGGCACGCATGCTGGGCAACTCAAAGTAATAATGTCATACAGGACCTTTATATTCAAGAATACAGTAATACACTTACACCAAAGCAGTCTTTAGCTTTTGCAGGTGATTTCTCCACAACAAAGTCTTCAGGTCCAGGCAACTGAAAATAAAAATTAAGCATTGAATGTAATGAAACTCACTTTTCTGGTAGGACCCTATGCAATGTAGAGAAGGGAAGGGAATGATTTTGGAGAAATACTGGTTTTGTTGAAAGGGATTATGGTTTTAAGCTCCTGCCAGATCAGCAGTGGCATAATTTGCCTCTGGGAGAAAGATCCTCTCTAAAAAGATATAACAGGGTGCTTAAATGTGATGAAAAGAGACTACTCCACGTACATTTCGTGACTGGAAAACATGTTATAATGTAGTTTAACCCTTAAACTGCGCAACGCGCCTGCAGGCTCACGTCTGGTTTGCGCAACGCGCCTCCGGGTATTTGTAGTTTTCACGTTCCATTCAAAACTCCCACGGCTACATGGGGTTCACATCAGCTTCCTCAGGGCTCTTGTAAACAGACGCCATCTTAAAAAAGAATCGTGATCCACATTCCCAGGTGCGGGAGCCTCAGTAGTGTGTGAGCAACCAAGGCTGGCGCTCGTAGCATGAGCGCACAGCACTGCTGTTCAGCGTGTGACCACAGCGTCGCCTAATAATGTCAAAATATATATTTAACTTGTATTATTTAGCTATGGTAGTGTTGTAGAAGAGCCTGAGTGTGATAATGACTGGGTACAATGTTCAAATACCAGTGATTCAATGCTGTTCACGATGTTCACAGCGCTAGCCACAGCACCACAGCATTATTTCGTACATCTAGGAATCTTCAAATGATTTCTTAGGTTCCTTTTAAAAATAAACGTGTGGTCAATTATTCATTTACAGGAATTAGTGACCAGGATTGTGATAATAGCAGGATTGTGGTTATAATTAGCGTTGTGCATAGTATTGTGGAAGGAGGAATTTTGGTGAGGGAGGGAGGGCGAGAATTGAGGTAGCCTCATTGTGTGTGGCTGCCACTCTTGTTTTGCTCACCATACTAGCTTAGTGGTTCGCTATGGGCAAAGCATATGTACATGGGTATATATAGTGTGTTTATATAGTGTAAGAACAGCAACAGGAGAATGCCGAGAGGAGCTATTTTGGTGAGGGAGGTGACGTAATCGTAGTGTCGTCTGCTGTGTGATTTTTCATGCAGTGTATGGTGGCCACTGTACTGTTTCAACACAATACCGGCTTACTTGCATAGTTCTGGTAAATAAAACATGTAGATAGGTATATAGAACATGTGTAATAAGAACTATAACAGTATGGTGGGAGGAGCAATGTTGGCGAGTAAGATGTTGGAGTGAGGGAGACTGGCCTGGGTGTGGCTGCTCTCACTCGAGGTGTTCTGAATGTGTTCATCGCCAAATGCTCCTATTGGCCTATACGAGGCAGCTCCTATTGGCCCATACGAGGCAGCTGCTATTGGCCCATACGAGGCAGCTGCTATTGGCCCATACGAGGCAGCTGCTATTGGCCCATACGAAGCAGCTGCTACGCGATGTTCTGAATGTGTTGATGGTAAATGTATATAGTGTGTGACAGTGTATAGTGTGTAAATAGATTGTATATATACATAAATTAGCATGATACATAGTAAATATGTGCTGCATATGTGTACACAAGTGTCATGCACGTAACACAGTTTCTTCGGACAGTACGGATGTTTTACTGCCATAATATAGTGTACATGTTCACTATACATAGGATTAGCACGTAAAAACAAATAAAATGTATTTGGAACTGTGCAAAAAAAAATGAACGAAAATATATTCGCGGCAACTTGCACGCCCCGCCCCGAGCGCCCTACTGGCTCCGGGAGCGTACGTCACGGGCGAACAGGGAATGATGACGGCACGCCCCAACTTACGGACCCCATAGCAACCAAAGTAAGTACAATTTCGATTTTTTTTCTACATACCCATACTGAGGGAAGGGTTTCTGACACTTTAAAAAGAAAAAAGAATTTTTTCCAGAGAATTTATTTCCTGCGCACTGCGGGGGTGTCATATTTGGAGGCAACGCAGTTAAGGGGTTAACCACTATGCTGCACAGCCTTAAAATATGACATTCCCTCTGTGAGCCGAAAATAAATTCTTTGCAAAAAAATTATTTTTTCTTCTTATATTGTTAAAATGCAGTCTCTGATTACAGAAAACTAAACAAAAATATTATATGTGACATACTTCAGCCGTGATGGAGCTGAGAAGTTAACTCTTAACTCTTAGGCTGCGCAATACATATATAGATGATTTGAGTAACATTACCGATACCTCGCAATACATTAACCCTTAACATGCTAGGGGTATAATATCCTTTCTTCCCCACAGGCGCATGTAATTTTGAAAAAAAAAAAAATAAAATTTCTTCCAATTTGTGTTCACTGATTGTGTTCACTGATCACGGGAAAAATAATAAAAAAATCGTAAGTGGCATATATTGGCCGCTATAGGGCAGGAAAGTGTGGCAAAAAATAGGCGCTGACTGAGCGTTCGTCCCAGGCGGTCTGTTGCTCGCCAGCTGTCAGGCCGGAGTTGCCACAAAGAGATAATTACCTAATTATTTCAATGTCTCTGATTGATTTTTCATAGTTTTTTTGCTGTAATATTATTCAATAGTGTGTAGTTTGATATATTTATATAATAAAATGAGTGAATCATCGCTGTACTCAAAAATATAGTGTGCATATTGTTGATTCAATTATGTTCATCAATCAGTGAACAAATACTTTGTCGGTTATTACACTATATACACAGGTTATATATAAGTATCTGCATGTTTTGTTCACCATAATGAACCACTATGTTGCTATTATGAGTCAAAAAGTAACGAGGAGTGACCGCCGTGTACCAGCCAGCCACTCACACCCTCCCTCAAGTCATCTGACTCACCCACATTCTCCACCCACCATACTGTTTTTGCTTTTATATACAGACGTTATATATAAGTATTTACATGTTTTGTTCACCATAACTGTACATCTAAGCTTGGATAGTGAGTAAAGGCACAAAGACGTAGGACCTCACAGTCAGCTGATGGCTGCCGCCCTCAAGGCCGCCACTGGCTGCCACTCCCTCCCTCTCTCACCTCACCTGACTTGCCACCATTCTCCACCCACCATACTGTTTTTACTTTTATATACAGATGTTATATATAAGTATTCGCATGTTTTGTTCACCATAACTGTACATCTAAGCTTGTATGGTGAGTAAAGGCACAAAGACGTAGGACCTCACAGTCAGCTGATGGCTGCAGTCCTCAAGGCCAGACGCACTAATATTTCTACTCCAACAATACTGTTTGTGGTGTTATTACGCTATATACACACATTATATATAAATATCTACCTGTTTTATTCACCATACTTGTACAAGTAAACAGGTATGGTGCCCAAAGACCATCGTGGTAACCAGTAAACAACACTGTCGTCTGCACGGTGGCGTCGTGCAGACGACGCCACCGCCCTCACCAAAATGGCGGCTCCCAACCTTCTCCTCTTGCTGTTTATACCCTCCATACACACGTTATATATAAGTATCTACACTTGTGTTCACCATAGCGAACCACTAAGCTGGTATGGTGAGTGCAGTCAATAAAGGTGGCCACACAGTCAGAAGACAACGCCACTACCCTCCCCTCCCACAGCATTACTCCTCCCTCCATGAAGCACAGCGCTAAATATCACCACAATCCTGCTATTATCAAAACCCTGGTCAGTTTTATCACAGTCAGGGGTCTTCTGTAATAAAATCATCGCTACATAATGGCATGAACAAGTATATTATGGCATTTTTAAGCGATGCTGTGGTCACAAGCTGAACAGCAGTGCTGTTAGCTCATGCTGCATGCATCAGGCTTGGTTGCTCACTCAATACTGAAGCCCCTAACACCCGGGAGTTTGGCCCACGATTTTTTTTTAAAGTGGCGTCTGTTTACAAGAGCCCTGATGAAGGTGTGGTGAACCCCGTGTATCCGCGGGCCGTTTAAATCTTGTGTAGTACTCCAACACGTCACATGACGTGATGTGCAGTTGACTGGAACAACGTCTACCACGTCATATGACGTGATGCGCACTTTAAGGGTTAATAGCTGTTTTAGGGTCTAGCGCTTTAATTTAAAAACCCGCGTGGGATAGGAGCAGCTATAGTGCAGCCATGACCGATAGTTGGCAGACGCCACCTAGAAAAAAAATCGTGGCCAACATTCCTGAGTGTGAGAGTGTCAGTACTGAGCGAGCCACCAAGGCTGGCGTGCGTGCAGCATAAGCTCACAGCACCGCTGGTCAGTGCTGTGCTCTATGGTGGGATGAGTAATGCTGAGGGAGGGACCGTGGTAGTGTCGTCTTCTGACTATATGTGTGGCCACCTTTTATTGACTGGACTTATCATACCAGCTTAGTGTTTCGCTATGGTGAACACAAATGTAGATGCTTATATATAACGAGTGTATAGAGTGTAATAACTGCAATAGGAGTATGTTGGGAGCCGCCATTTTGGTGAGAAAGGTGCGTCGTCTGCATGACATGTCATGTAATTTATTGGTGGCCACTATGGTCTTTGGGCACCATACCAGCTTATTTGTACAGGTATGGTAAATAAAACATGTAAATACTTATATATATAATGTGTGTGTATATAGTGTAATAACACCACAAACAGTACTGTTGGAGGAGAAATATTAGTGCGTCTGGCCCTGAACCAGTGATGGCAGCAAGCACCAGCTGTGTATGTAGCTACATCTCTTATTGCTTGAACTCACCATACAAACTTAGATGTACAGTTATAGTGAACAAAACATGTAGATACTTATATTTAACATCTGTGTATAATGAATAAAAACAAAAAACCAGTGTTGAATGTAATGAAACGTCATTTTCTGGGTGAGACCCGGAGGCTCCTCGGAGCTTACTAGCTTACTAGGCTGATATGCTAATGTCAGACTTTGGCATCAGTCATGTGTATGGAGTTCTTATGGGCATACTGGGGACCACGAGCCAGAACCTGTCCCCCTCTAGAGAGGCAAGGGGAGCAATGGCTTATAGTAACCCCCGTGTGGTTG